GTATGGGCAGTGGGGGGCGCGCACGCGGGCAGGCCGGGGGAGGGGCGTATGGGCCGTGGGGGGCGCGCACCCGGGCAGGCCGGGGGAGGGGTGTATGGGCAGTAGGGGGCGTGAGCGTGGGCAGCGCGGGGACCCAGCCGCGCCGCCGCCTGTGTGCAAAGCGAAACCCAACGGGAAAAGAGCTGAAGTGGATCCGCACCGTAGCGCGCTGCGTCCAGGTCCAGCTCCGAAACTGATGCGAGAGCCAAGGAGCAGGGACAGCTTTGCAGAACGTAGAGTCTGGGCGCCGCCGTGCTTTGAGCGGCTCTGGCCCTGCCTCACCGAGTGGTGCTGCAGGAGTAGCTTGTGTTTGTGTAAACAAAAAAGACTGGGGATTGATTGATCAGCTTATTTGTGCGATGCTGGGAATTGAACCCAGCCTGGCCTTTCACACTGAGCTGTATCCCCTGCACTTTTTATTTTATTTTATTTTTTTAATTTTGAAAAAGTATCTTGACATGTCATCAACATGCCCAAGCTGGGCTTGAACTTGGAATCTTCCTGCCTCAGCCTCCCAGAGTGTTAGAGTTACAGGTCTGCACCTCCACGCCCAGCTCAGCATTGTTCTTGTGATGGTAGCAGTGATGCTCTTTGCAGCTGCTCTACCGAGGAAAAGGACCCCCCAAAAGAATGAGACGTCTCTTTGCAAAAAGTAGCGCTTTATTTAAGCTGGTACCCAGTGGCACAGAGTACAGATGGGCTCTGCAAGCTGCTGCGCGCCGAGGAGAAGCAGCAAGGACCTTATAAAGTGAAAAACCACAAAGGGGGACATTTAATACCCCGATCTTGTCTTTGCAGAGTGCTAGGTACTTTTGGTGGTTATAATTCTCAGAACCGATGCTTTTCACAAGAACATCAAGTTAACAAGTTGGCTCTTGTGGTTTTGCATTGCCTGGGAACTGTAGCAGAGGATTTTTAGTAGGGGGTTTTGAGGGTACAATGGGTGACTGGAGGGTGAGGGAAAAGGGGGCATACAGAACAGGATGGCGGCGCTTTGGTCAGGTTACAACAGCAGCCTTTGACAAGCTGAACGGAAACGCGCGTCCCTGCTCCTGCTCCAGTCTTGTGACTCAGCAGTGACACTGCGGCACTGTGTGCCGGTGCTGTTAGCTCTGTTCAGTGGTTAAAGTGGGAAAAGCTTGCTATCAAGGTGCAGATACATTTTAAGTTTTGTTGGATATTGCTGAATAGCTTTGCAAAGATGTATGCACACTCCCACCCACAATTGTAGGACGTTTCGGGTTTTTCTCTCTGTGTCCTTGTTAGTGGTGCTTTGTGTAATAAGGTACCCATTTTTACATGGCGGTGGTGGCAATGGTATTGGAAACCTAAGCGAAAGTGACAGAATACTCATAGAAAGCGTTTTTGTGCTCCCTGAACTCATTTATTCACTGAACAAAATTTTACTGAAGAACTACAAAGAGCCAAAAGTTGCTCAAAATGCTGTCAGTATAGCAATGTACTGGGTCACACAGACACGGCCCTTTCCCTTATGGAGCTACTTTACAGTGTGTGAGGAGACTAAGTTAGTAAGTAAAACACATTAATGCCAAACGGTGCCATGGAGAAAACGCACAGGCAGGGTTGGGGTTACAGGGTGTCCCAGATGTGGTGGGGAGGCAAGGTTTCAGGAGACAATGACAACTAAGCAAAGATCTGTGCAGAGGAGTGAGATGGAGAGGAAAGTCAGGCTGAACTCTTCCTTGTTCTCTGAAGCGAGAAGGGGCACAACGTGATTGTCAGCTAATACGCCTCTGCTCTCCATCCACATGGCCTCTTCAGCGGTGCCTGGGACGACTAGTCGCAGCGTCATCCACCACCATCGGTCACTTCAGCCACTGCTCCCCATCCCTGGCTGTCAGGAGCCTGGCTCCAGAGACAGCTGTGATGCCCTACCCTTTGCCAGGCTGTTTCATCCGCCCTCTCCGGGGAGTGGCCGGGAAACCACTCCTGACAGTGCAAACATTGGAGAGGGACTGGGACCTGTTGATATCGTTGAAGTCCCCAAGCCCCAGTAGGCCATGATCAGCATGGCTGGCTCTCCTGGACGCCCTTGGACAGCAGTAGCAGTCATGAGTTCAGCCCTACCCTTTCCCCAAGAACCTTGGGTGCTGTCAGTCAAGCAGCTACTTGCTAGCCAAACTTGCCCTGGTACCTGAGGCTGTTTTAGTTGTCCTGCCAAAGCTCTGGGTGATATTTGCTTTCCTGGAGACAGGCTTGAAACACAGACCTATCTCAGATGACTCTGCCCTGCAGTCACTCCTGATGAACCTAGTGGTCCATTACTATGAAAGTCCTTTAAAAGTTCCATTGTAAGGGGCCAGAGATATAGCTCAGAGGCACAAGCACCTGCCTGTCAAACTGAAGGTCCTGAGTTCAATTCCCGGTACATCAACAACAGAATGTTCCATCACATGTGCAAGACTACACATGTGCAGCCCACTCCTGCTCTGTGAAAGGAGCGCCCTTACATTCCTCAATTTAGTTGATGAGGGCTCCCTCAGGTATATTGACCCCCATGTGCCTTAGCACAGGGGTATATTGACCCCCATGTGCCGTAGCACAGGTACCGGTAAAGCGTTCCTCCTCTAAATTCTTATCTTGGGTACTTTAAATAGAAATGGCAATACTAGGCACTATCAGCCTGAAGGGTTCCGGAGATCAGCAGCAGAGACTGTTGGAAAAGCTCTAGGTAGCTGCCAAAAGGGCTACAGACCTCTGCCAGTGAGGAGTTGATGGCCTGGTTAGAAGCCTCTAATGGCTAAACATTAAAGAGCCAAAACACCAACGGCCGAGGGCCCCTGGCACTCAAAAGCCCGGAGCAGTAACATCAAAGGTGCAGAGACCTGGAGTCTGACACAGATTCAGCAAGCATAAATGAATGGTATGGTTGGAGGGCAGAAAGCAGGGCAAACTTGCATGAATAAGGTCACAGGGGAATGTGGGTGTGGTAGACCTGTAGGCCAGTGCAATATTTATCTGAAGTGGGATAACAAATTTTAGAAAAGGTTTTGAAAGATTTCTTTTGCGTTGAAAAATAAACCTAGTTTCCTTCTCATGAAGAACCTAGCAAAATTAATAGCAGTCTAATGTTTGAAAAGTTTTCCAGTGCATTGATCACTTTTTCCCTTCCATCTTCATACCTCTTCCCTTTTTCTTCCCTTAGTTGCATTTGGGTTAATGAAGTTTAAGTGAATTGTAACTAAGGAGGCAGCAGTAAAAATCAAGATGAGAAAAATTATTGGTTATCTACTCTCATTGTTTAAGAATTTGTATTAAGAAAAGCACATATCTATAAAAAGTTTCAAAGGAATATACCCTTCAAGAGAAGAAACAAACACTTGACTATTCAGTGAGATCTGAATATGCTAATAGAAAGAATTTGAATATCATTTTCTAACACATAGGATTGGGTGCATTTTTGAGAGAATTGGTTTTATTGTCTTTTGAGTGTATGTTTATTAAAATGTTAGACACGATAACTGGAGAAAAGGGGGAAGAAAAAAATGAAACACGACAACCAGTCTGTAACCTCCTTGAGAAACTGAAACAAAGTAGGTAAATGTTCCCCGACTCAAAGGGGCCAGGGATATAGTTCAATGGCACAGAGCCTGCCTAGCAAGTGTGAGGTCATGAGTTCGATTCCTGATACAGAAAAACGAAACAAACGGAATAGTCACTCACTGTCAGGAACTCTTCCAAGAAATTGTAAGTCTGAGTTTCTCAGCCGTGGCTGTACTGACATTTTGGCCTGGCTAATTTTTTGTTGTAGGATATTTAAGCCGCATCCTTGTGTATATCCACCAGATGTCACTAGTAACCCTCAACTGTGACAACCAAAAAATGGACTCAGCATTGCCAAAACCCTCTGGCGGGCACAATTCTTTCCTCTCACAACCACCGCCCTACCCTGGTTGAGCATCACTGCACACTGTATATGTCTAACTAAAAAAACTAATTAGCACAACATAGCCTGCAGGAGATACTAGGGTGACTTCAGACAGGAGACTGGGAAATGAATACAGATCAGGCGAAGTTGGTTACGTACTGAGATTCAGGACAAAGCAGGCTGGATGGGGGTGCATTGTAAGGGCCGTGTCAGAGAAGACTTCTCCCTTCAGTGAGGAACTTTTGAGTGAAGGTAGTTGTTAGCACATTTGTTCTGGCTGCGAACAAGACCCATGTCTGAGGCCACAGGATGAGAGTGGATGCTGTGGTTGCGGTTTGAGTGCGCTCCCTGAAGCTTCATGGATCCGAAGTTTGGTCCTCAGTGCAGCAATGTTAAGAAGTGCTGGGATGTTTAAGAGATGAAGTCTAGTAAGGGGTTGGAAAACTGTCCCTTCCTGCCCTCCAGCTTCCTATCTTGCCATACAATTGCTCCCTCGTGTGGACATTCCGCATGACACTGTCCACCATGGCATTATGCTGCCAGGAGGCCCTTGCCAAGGCCTTTGGACTTTCGGCCTTCAAACTGTGAGCTAAATGAAAAAAACTCTTGAGGCTGGAGCAGATGATAGAGTAGATACGTTGATTCCTAATGCAATTCCAGCTCTCACTGCATCATGAGAATGGAGACCTTGGGGGTCGGAGTTGTCCAAAGAGGCTGTAGCCAACAGTGACATATGTATAGCAGTTAGCAAAGGCTTAGGCTGGGGCACTATAGCAATAGTGAATGAGAGGAACAGTAGCTGGCTTGACTTAGGGATCAGTTTAAATAAGGACTCCAATTGGGGTTCTGTAAATACATGGGAATAACAGGCTGCTACAATATAGCTGCTAATATAAAGAGACTTCTTGGTAATGCCTGAAGATACCCATGTATAAGTCTGGCAGTATTCTTTTCAAAATGAAAGAGCATCTATGTCCTACATTTTCTATTTGCTGTTTTGCTCTGCAAGCATCCAGACTATAACATTGCTGTATTTTGGAACCCTGAGAAGTGCAAAAGTCTCTTCTTGAGTTGGGAAGGATGTGAAAGAGAAGTGCTATTAGGTTAATAATAAGATAGACTAAATCGCATTTCTTAGAGATTGGAAGACATTCCTGTTATAGTTTGTGTCTAGATGTCTCCCCAAAGCCTCATGCAGTCATGGGGGGTGGGCTTTTCAGAGGTGTCTGAATCTAGAGTTTGTGACTGGTTCATGGTCTGATGCTGGGATTAAGGGTGTGAGTGCTACACCTTGGGCAGGAGCCTGCATACAATATAAGGGATAGAAAGAGGCTTGTGCTTTTGTTTCCCTTGTAGCTTTTTCTGTTTGCCACCTCTATGAACTGTTGCCCCCTGCCATGTGCTGCTCTGCCCTGGAGCCAGCCGATTATGGACTGAACCCTCTACAAACTGTGAGCTAAACAAACCTTTCCTCCTTTCACTTTAGGAATTGAGTATTAAATCTCAGCAGTGAGACAAAAGTAATAAGGTCTTGTAAGGAAGACAGTTCTTCACACAACACATGACATAATCCAGAAATTTATTTTGCATTAATGAGGTTTGCTTTCAGGTCATTTCATTGTTTTTATATTTACATTTTAATTGAATCAGTATCAGCAAATGATTTAAATAGTGCTTCAAATGAAATGGCATAAAACAAGAGAAACTACTTGGAGCAATTTGACAGTGAAATAAAGTTAGAACACCTTCATGGAGAAAACTGACTTTTGGTTAGTATATGTTTAATTCTGTCTCTCTCACTAGATTATAAAATACATGAAGTTTGGGTAAACTCTCTTCCCGTTCATCTTACAATTTTTGGTATTTATGTATAAAGTCCTGTAAACTCTTGACAAATGAATTAAACACATTAGTGTATGTAAACCTAGAATTTGGGGCTGGGGATTTAGCTCAGCGGCAAAGCGCCTGCCTGGCAAGTGCAAGGTT